AGAGGGTCAGGCTATTCGATTGACATGCATGGAAAGCTGGAATCTTCATGTTATGTGTTTTGTACGCTTTGTTTATATTTGTGTTCACTTCGAAAAAAAGGCGTTAAACTACTGAAAATTTGTGAGTTCAGAAACACTCCCCCAACTATAGCATATATTTTGGGTTGGTGCATAATATCGTAGCGTTTTTATTCGACGCAAACAATCGGTAAAAAACCAAAAAAACATGAGATCAGTCCCCTATGTATCTTCCATCATTACTTATGACATCCTACCAGCTATCAGCTAATTTGTTGAATCCATTCGTCCAGAAATCATTAGTTTTGGAATCGAAGAAATTTTTGAGCCAGTTTTCAAGGTGTTCTCCATTTTCGAAATGTTCGCCAGAAATATGATTTGATAGCGAGCGGAACAGAAGGAAGTCGGTAGGGGCAAGGTCGTGTGAGTACGGCGGGTGCTGAAGGATTTCCCATCCCAGCTCCTGTAGGGTTATTTTCGCGACACTTGCTGTGTGTGGGCGCGCATTGTCGTGGAGCAAGATGACTTGTCTTTCTCGGTTGCGCCTTTTCATTTGAAGAGCCTCATTAACTCGACGCAGTTGGCCCACATGAAGGTCCTCGTCTTGTTCTTCTCGAGAGTTTCCCAATGCACGATGCCCTCCCAGTCCCACCAAACGCAAAGCATGATCTTTTCGGGACGAAGGTCTTGTCTCACTCTGGGTGTTGGTGTGTCTCCTGCACAGATCCATTGTTTCCGTTGTTTGACGTTAGCATAGAGACACCATTTTTCATCTCCTGTGATGATTCTGTGGAGAAATCGGTTCCTGTGGTCATGTGTAGCGCGATGTCGAGCGAGATTTTGCGCTGCGATTCGGAGGCGACCTTGCCTTCGTTTCTTCCGTGAGTTTATGAGGTACCCATGATCCAAGTTTCTGAGTGTATTCCATCGAATGAAGATGGCGAAGGATCGTCGCATGATCACAGTCCATCTTTTCAGCCAATTCTCTAGAAATTTGTCGGTCATCCTCCTTAATAAGGTCCCTTAGTTGCTCCTTGTCAAAATCTGAAGGACGTCCGGTGTGTGGAGCGTCTTCCAAATCGAAATCGCCCTCTTAAACTTGGCAAACCACTTCCGGACGGTTAATTCACCTATAGCATCCTCTCCGTACACACTGCAGATGTCACGAGCGGTTTCAGCAGCTTTCTGGCCTTTATGAAAGGCGAAAAATAGGAGGTGTCGAAAGTGCTGATTTTTGCCGCCTGGGT